CATAATAAGAGCGTTAAACCGCCGGTACTTTCCCCATATATCAGACGCGGGGCCGAATTCACCCTGCACTCCACGGAAATTCAAAGCGGGCACGTACAAACGTATCTGGCCGGCCCCGCCACCCAGAGTAACGACTTCCCCCATGTTCACCGCCGCAAGATCTTTTTCAAATGGGGGAAAGGTACTGGCGGCCCAAGATCACAGAGCTGTTTCTTGCGCCAACCTCCTACAGAATACAAGTTCGGGTCTCATTAGACACTCCTAAAAATGCTCAAGACAATGATACATATATATATATATAGTCACAGAACTATTGACTAAGAGCGTAAGCATGTGAAGTAGAAGAAGAAATAAGATGAGCGAAGAAAAGAAAAATGAAAGGACAGACAGGCAAAGAAACAGACGAACTATATTGTCAAACAGAGCTGCCGGGTAAACCGTAGGCAGAGAGGGAGGGAGAGAAGACGACAACAAACGTGGGGCTGTGACGGACTGTTTCGTCGGAGCGCACTTTGCTAAAGAAAGGATAAAAAACAAAAAAACAAGGGCACTTTGAAACCATTCAATTTATCGTTCTTCTTTTAATTCCCCCTACACTGCCTCTCACATAAAAGGCTCGCCACGCCCATCAAGTTGAGCGCGAGCATCCACGTATGCCATAACAGCCCACTTGCACGCTATGGGAAAGAGGCAGAGTGAAGGAAGAGGTGTCAAACACAAGGAACAGAGGAGCAGAAAAGGAAACTCGATAGGCAGAGGGAGAAAAAATAAAATAAAAAAGGGTGACACAAAAATCTTTCTTTTACTGCATTTTTTCTTTATTTCACAGTCTTGCAGTTTTGGTGAAGAGTACCACGTTCGCTTTTCAGCACACCGGCACTTCCTTCTGCATTTTTTATTCTCGTTTTCACCCTCCGGACTTTTCCTTCGAGGGTGTTAGGGTGCAGGGTACAAAGTACTACACGCAAAGTAAAATGACACAAACTTTTCTTCTTTAACTGCAAGGGTTTCACACGTGGTTAACCAGGGGTGCTATTTTCGACGAATTTTGCACCGAATTGCACTGAAACTGTCATATTGTGCTGATTTTTTGCTTTTTTTCTTGTTTTTCTTTTTGTGTGATATAAATGTGCTTTAGGGTACGTCATGTGTGCAGTTTTGACATGTTTGGATCAATAATGAAAAAGCTGGCATTTTGTTGAATTCGTTGGACGCTTCATTTTGACTCGGACAGTGTCTTTGCATTAGGGTTTCATAGTGTTCTTTTGTTTTTTTTATCGTTTTTCTTGACCTGTTTCCTTTTTCGATGTTTGTACTATGGTCTCATATCGTTTGTTTTTAAAAATTTTGATGATGTTTCCTTTTTTGATGTTTGTACTATGGTCTCATATCGTTTGTTTTTAAAAATTTTGATGAAATTCGCACCGCAATTGCCAACGAAAACAGCCAATATTTGGGCCCCTGTTAACCGTCTCTCAAGGGTTTCCCACCTTTGCACATTCTTGTACACTCTTTTCAGCGCACCTGCACATTTTTGTTGCACATTTTTGTACACTATTTTCAGCGCACCTGCACATTTTTGTTAGGGTGCAAGGTACGGCTAAGTAATACCCTCACACTGATCTATGGGACGAAAACCATTCAGGTAAGCAACCTCGTCACAGCAGGGGCCAGGACGGCTAGCATCAACCATACCTCTGAAGCATGCACAGCAGAGGGCATGCCGGTTGCAGGCCATGACGATTGCGGGGCGTTCACCATCACAGTTAAGTGCACATTCGCTATAGCGCCCGTAGGCACAGATGGGACATACTGCATCTGGATGCAGAGGATGTTCACAATCCGAATACAGGTGGCATCCCTGCCGACAGCGGGCCCAAAACGTTACATGGTTGTAGTGATGTCGACAAAGTCGATGCTTCCCACAACCAAGTGTAATTGTGTCAGTGATCTCACAAAGGAGGTCACAAGGTGTTAGTGCAACATGTGGGGGAATGGAGACTAAAGCGGGTACGATGACAGACATGGAGATAGGCACGAAGACAGACACAGAAACAAGCATGGCGACAGACACAAAAATGGGCATGGAGACAGGTGCAGAGGCGGCCACAAAGACACGTGTAGAGGCGGGGACGGAAGTACATGAGGTACCCATAAGGTCAGTAACCTGGAAGGAGACAGACACAAAAACAGGCACAGACACAGGTACGGAGGCAGGCACAGAAAACAGGCACATAGACAGGTACGGAGGCAGGCACAAAGACAGGCGTAGAGAAGGGCATGTACATACATAGGGTCAATGACCTGGTACAGTTCAATAGGGTAATTACGTGTGAGATCACGGATGGCAGTAATAGTTTGCACCATAGCACCGCCATTCCATAATTCCCAAGAACCAGAGGCACGAACAAGAGCAGTGCAGTGGCCAAGAGTATGGTTCGGTGGGGCCACGCTGCACATCAAGTCGACGCCTTATCAAAGCAATCTCCAAAACAGAGACATCGAATCCCCCATGTCGAGTGTAATTACTATCCCGTGAGGGATGCAGAGTCGGGTTATCGCCATATAACTCATGTTCCTGAGCATCAAGATCGAAAGCAATCGCCAAGAAATCCGAGTGAGTATATGGTTCCCAACAATAGGCTTGTAGGCAGATGTTAGTAGCATCAAGGCCACACAGATTCCGTTGAGGCCGGTCAGGCGAATTTTCTACAAAATCTTCGACGGTCCCGTTGCCAAGTTCATCCTTGGATGGTCCCTCACCATCATCCCTCCTATCTTGTGTTTCCCGCGTTGCAGAAAGGTCTGCAGCCGAAGAGCATCGCAGGCGTGATACGGATACTTGGGGCGGCAAAAGACGGAAACGGGATGTTGGGGAGGGCCATGGTGGGGAGAATGAACAGGTCGTTCTTCGTCCAAGAACAAAGATGGAGGAAAGGGGAGTAAGCTGAGGTTGGGGAGTAGGCCGATGTCTAGGACGACACATAGGCTTTATATATCGTCAAACAGAGCTGCCTGCCGTAAACCGTAGGCAGAGAGGGAGAAGAGGACGAGAAACAAGGGACTGTGACAAACTGTTTCGTCAGAGTTTTGCCGACTCATCAGGAGCCTGAACCCTCAACAGTCTGCAGAATCCCCTAAATGATTCCACTGTAAGTGATAATCCACCTTAATGCCTGCTCTTCACAGAGCTGCCCAGTAAACTGTAGGCAGAGACGGAGAAGAAGACAAGAAACGAGGGGCTGTGACAAACTGTTTCATCCCAGTTTCACTGACTCGTCATTTACATATCGTCAAACAGAACTGCCCGGTGATCTGTAGGCAGAGAGGGAGAAGAGGACAAGAAACGATGGGATGTGACGAACTGTTTCGTCGCAGTTTCACTGACTCATCATGTACATATCGTCAAACAGAATTGCCCGGTAAACTGTAGGCTGAGAGGGAGAAGAGGACGGCAAACGAGGGGCTGTCGTCGGACTTTGGCCGACTCATCAGCAGGGAGAACCCTCATATACATATATATCGTCCAGCGGAACTGCCCGATGACACTCCTTAGCAGTCCTAAAAGATCTAGGAGCAGTCCGCAGAAAAAAAATTTGGTATTTCTGGCGTCCTTGTTGGGAATCCGTTTTTCGGACAATTCCTTAAAGAGTTCTTGTTCAAAAAATTAAAAAGAAAAAGGAAAAAAAAAAAGGTTGGGCTTCAGGCTTTCAGCCAGTACGACGCCACTGCGGTCCAGATCCGGCGTATGCCAACTCTCCACCGAATTCCTATTTTTGATATTTCAGACACCTCCACGATTGCCTCTATCCTCTCCATGATTGCTCTCTGGGCATCGCCACACCACTCTCAAAATGTGCAAAATGGTAATGAACTTTCCGCTAGAACATGGCCAGATGCACCCGGCACGTTTTCCTCTTTTTCACATTTCAAGAGTGGTGCGGCGAGGCCCTCTATCTCCCTTCTCTGCTTCCACATCCTCTCCATGATTGCCTAATGTGCATCTCACAT